CCCCAAAACCCCAAAACCCCTCTATCAGTAAATAGATTTATAAATGAGATTCAATTTTACTTATAATAATATAATATTTATTTAATACTTTAGAGCAAAAAACAGATTTAAGACCAAAGTTCAAAGTTGAAATGGATTCCTAGTTTATAAAATTAGATGTTTTGGGAAGTGGTTCATTTGGAGTTGTTTACAAGGTCCAAAGAAGCTCTGATAAGCTTAATTTTGCACTGAAACAATTTAATAACCCAGATATTGGACAAATAATATAAGAAATAAAAGTACTTCAAGAGATGGATTTCAAGAATATCATAAGGTATTATGATTCTAGCTTGAATCCTCCTTATATAGTAATGGAATACTGTTCAAAAGGCAGTTTAGATAAGATGATAAAAGATGCTAAATAATAGAATATGCAAATTTCTGAACAGAAGGCATTGGATATTGTAAAATAGATTCTTAAAGGACTTAAAAAATGCCACGAAAATAAGTTGATACACAGAGATCTAAAACCTGCTAATATTTTAATAGACTAAAATGATGTTATCAAGATTGGTGACTTTGGATTAGCAAAATTTTCTGGAGCAAACTTATGCAAATAGTTAAGTAGGCACTATTCTTTATATGAGTCCAGAAATTATATAGGGTAAACATTATGACGGCTGAGCGGATGTTTGGGCAGTAGGAAGTATTCTATACGAGCTAATAGAATTATAATAGCCATTTGCAAATTCAAAGAATATAATGGAAATTTACTAGAATATAATTGGAGCTAAATATATGCCTCCGAGAAAATGTAGCTTAAATACAGCTAAACTTATTGAATAATTATTAGAGCCAAATTAATACAAAAGATTAAATTCAAGAGATGCACTAAGGATGTTAAAAACACAAGAATTTTAAAAGGTTTTTCTTCATAAAACATAATCACTGGAATTTAAATAGCCTCAATAGAATTATCTATCAAAGGGAAAGGATATATTTTAAAACTAAATACAAAAAAGGGATCTTTTGTTCTAAAATTAAATATCAAGCAGAGAACAAAGAATATAATATGAAATAGCATTAAGAGAATAAAGAATTAAAAATGATATTTTAGCTAATAGAGAACAGATGATCCAAAATGAAATAGCATAAAGAGAATAGATTATGCGAAATTAAAAAGCAAAATAATTGACGATGCAGATTGAGATAGCATAAAGATAAAAGATGATGGTATAGAATTAGCTAAGAGAGTTAGATTATTTAAAATCAAAACTTTAAACGTTGGAAAATAGAATAACTAAGAGATAATGAATGCTTTTTTACTATATATTTATTTTAAAGCATTAGGTTAAAACATTAATGTCTAATTAGCAATTAATTTTACACCTTTAGAATTTTAAATAAGTCATGATGGGGGTTTTGGGGTTTTGGGG